TTTTCAGTGTTATGTTGAGAAGTTTGGGCTTGGCGTGATGGACTGACTAATCGTTCATTCTTCAGCAGATTGGTGTGCTGGAAAGTGGTGTTTTAGTAGTCATTATATGTCAGTGAGTTAATTATTTGATTTTGTTGAGAGCTCCTTGAATAGTCTTCACTCCAAATTGAAAGAAACAGAATTTTTAACTATTAAATGTAATAAATGACATAGCTGTACTTTGCAACAACTCGTAAATCATTGGCCAGCAAGTTAACTCATGCATTATGAAATTTCAAATTATGTTCTCATTTATAATACCAGATATTTTTCAATTGCAGATTTAGTACCTCAAGACAGACCCTTATGTGGATTCCAGATTCCTTTTTTTCCAGGTATTGCATATAATTCTTTAGTACCATTTTTAATACACTTGTTATTTATCAAAATAGTAAATTTTTTCCTTGTCTTAATTTTTTTTATATATCTTGAATAAAAAAATCTTACTTTTAAAATAGATTTTTTGAAATTTTTATTTTACTTTGGAGATCACTCATTTGTATTGATCTTTGACATCTGATAAAGAATTGACATTTATTCATACTCAGATTTTAAAAGCTAACTAGCTTATTGTTAATGACTTCTAGTTTGCTGAGTGGAAGAATTTCAACGCTTCGAGATGAAACTGGTGCTGTGAGTATAATGTATAATATATCTAAATTACATTAACCAATGCTTATAATGCTTTATCCTTATTATATAGTGACTTAGAAGACAGGAAACCTAATATTTTAATTAAATGAAAGTGACATATGTACTTAGTTTATTTTTTGTCACATAGTTAATAGAAGAGAACAGAGAATACTAAATATAGCAATTTAAGTATTCATGATTATAAGATATGAGCTTACATTGTCAATAAAGAAAATATTTCTTTTAATGAATAATTAAAACAGTAAATATATTAAATACTAAAGTGTTTTGATATTGAATTAGAATAGTGTAAGATATTGCAAAAAAGTTGTCTTACAATTTTTTTTTTGGAGAATAACCTTATGAACTTATGGAGCAATGGTAGAATGAGGGAAGAAAAGAACAATTATGTTTCAGTACAAAAAAAAAAAATGGTTTACATTTATAAAGCAGTTATATGTGTCTAACATGTGAAGTAAATGTCCATTGCTCTCAAAAGCTAAAGGGCTTTGTCTGGAGGCAGCAGAGTGACCAGAAGTATTTGTTCGCTATAGTGAAAGTTATAGATGAAGCAAAGCAGCAAAAGCAGGAATACTTATGTGAGATCATAAAGACATAAGATCTCCAGAAATCTGTGGTGTTTCTTCAACTTTTGACGGGTTCTAATAAAAACAAAAGCAAGAATTTATGAATCTAATAGTACTTAACTCATTGTACTTGAATGGTTGATCATAGTGTAAGGAGTTTTCTTTGCTGCCATTACCCTAATTGACTTACAGAAGCTTTAAAAGATGTTCATTTTTATGGTGAGAGCTGTAACTGATTCAAAATAGTGTTGGTACACATTTCTGTAAAAAGTTACCAATTATATATTTTGTATTTTTAAGCATTTTATTTCCCCCTTATGTATTCTGTGGTGCTGTATTTGTTATTTTTAAAATATGCTTTTTGTCATCACCCTCCTTTCCCCCAGCCCTTGTAGAAACTGAAATAGTGAGGTGTGTAGGTGTTAGGAGAAGAGCATCTTTTCCGTGTTGGCAGCAGCACGCAGTATTTACCCTTCACCCCACGCGTATTGTAAAAAGTACGTTGTTGCTTTAGTGATTCACATGTGAATCACAGATTATGTAAGTCACGGTCACTGTCGCCAGCAATTAATGACCAAGCAATAAGCAATGTAAGAGAGTATTTATGTGTAATATTTTCAAAGTACTTATTGAATTCTAGGATATTTCAGATAAAAATTTTCTCTAAAGTGTCACTTTTACCAAAGATAACAGTTTAAAAAAATGAGGGAACTGATTTACTAGATACCATTTTCCTACATATTAAAATAGCATCAATCTAATAATAGCTTTTCTGGGGGAAAAAAGACACATTAAGTTCATACTGTTTGTAACTGCATTCCAATTTTAGAAACATTAAAATTTAAGAGTAGAACCAAGGGAATGTATTTTAAGTAATGTAGTCTTTGTTCCTTAAGTGTCACATATATGAAAGTTAGAAGTTGTATTTGTAATTTGAAAATAAAACAATTCATTTACAGATATTTATTGATAGAGATCCAGCAGCATTTGCACCCATTTTAAATTTTCTTCGGACGAAAGAACTAGATTTGAGGTAAGAAATGCATCCTTTTAAATACATTCTCATTGATAGGTATGTGTCTTTTTGTATATTTTGTAAGGAAAAGCGGCCCCCTCCCCCAAGGCTGTGTTGCTTGAAGGTTTCCTCAGAACCAAACTCCAGGTGTGGGCCACTGTCCTCTCTTCCCCGGCACCACTCCAGCAGCTTCTTAACCAGTGTCCTGGCTTAGTTCTTGCCTCCCTCATTTATTTCTCACACCGTAGCCAACGTTATCGTCTAAAAATAGAAATCTGATCTGGCTCCTACTCCCCTTAAAGTGTTTTTGGTGTCATTAGATTAATGGCTAAGGATTTTGGTAACTTGGTATTGTCCCTTAAGGCTCTGTAATCAGGCCCCTGCTTAACTTCTCTTGCTTCCACATGTGACCCGAGCAGCCTTGGCTCCGTCCTGATTCAGTGATCTTGGCCCTGTCCACCTCGCATAGATGGGCGTGGTTGTGGCGCTGCCACCACCCCAGCCTTCACTACACTCGCTCCTTTCTCAGGAGTCTGTCTTCCGTGAGACTTCGAATTCGAAAGGACAAGCACTGTTCTCTACACGTCCTCGGGATCTGGCGTTGTGCTGGGCATGTCGAGGTTCAGTGCATGGTTTTGTGGATGAATGGAGTATCACTTAAACGACTGCTTTAACGTCGCCATTGTCTAGATTCTCACCAGGAAGCTACTGTTTGTATTTTATTGTCCTTTTATTTCATATGTTCCTAGTGAATTTTCACTAAGGATTTATTATTTAGATAGTAACAGCTTGTAAAGTTCTAATTGTTTGAGCTGCTGCTTTAGATAATCTAAGTTTTGGCTTGCATTCACTAGAATCTGAGCTCAAAGGCAAAGATTTTTTTTCCTCTGGTTGGTTCTCTGCTGTATTTCCAGTATTAAAACAGTGCATGTAGTAGCTTCTTAATAGATGTTTATTGAATGAGTGACAGTTTGTTGGGGCTTTTTGTTTGTCTGATTTTTGGCATAGGTTTGGGTTGAAGTGGTAAGTATGTTACTACTTCCTTTTTTATAAAAGTAAACTTATTTTGATCCATAGCATTTTATTTAAAAAGCCAAAATTTACTTTCCTCTTGACTAATCCACAACTTAGATAACCCATGAAAGGCAAAATTGATTTTAATACCTGTATTTAATTAACTGCTTTTCTTACAAATTACTACCTTATTTTACTTAGTGAAATTTTATTTTTATGTTACTATACCTTAACATCTTCATCAAGGTACATAGCCTTTCCTAATCTGATCTTTTCCCCCTACCTTCTTTCTTCTTTTATTTTTGGTTTCTGATGAGGAGGGAGTCATTTATCTGAATTCATTCAAATTCTTCTTGCGTAACTGTTATATACAAGTGTTATGCTATGCACTGTGAGAGGTATACGAAATGGATCAGCAGTAGATCATGCTTGCAGGGAGCTTACAGTGTAATTGAGAGGTTACATAAATATGTATAGAAATATAAAAAGTTAAAAGCCATTAATGCCACAGAAGGATGATTCCCACTCTTGTTTGCCTTACTAGATACTTACTTGTACTAACCCTGTAAAACCTAATCTCTCATTTAGTTGCTCAAATCATCTATACGTGAGTGGTTTTTAACCCATTTCCCATTTAGAAAAACTGCAGCTCGCTGCTAGCGTTAATTTAATTTTACATAAACATGCTCTTTGAGGCTGAAGCAAATTGACTGGTTTTCAGTGTGAAAATAAAATATAAAAACTGTTCTTGGAACTTGTGTCTAATCCTAATGTAACAGAAATGTATATGATGATCAGTATAATTTTTTCACCTAGTAAATTTAAAAGCGGAGCATCTAGGATTTGACATTTTCAGCGATTGAGAATTACCATATTTTGTAAATGGAAATACCACTACTAAAAACGGTGTTATAAATAGAATGATGTCATTTGTTCCCAAAGATTATTGATATACTAGGTGATGCAAAATTAATAATAAAAGCGAGATAGTCAGTGGCATACCTTGGGGGCGAGGTTAGGACTGTGATCCCCGAGTTACCTCAGGGTGAACGCTGCAGCCACAAGCATGGCCGGCGAGTATCCTCAGGGCAGACAGGAAGTGGGTTGATTGAGAGAATGTTTTTGTTGGTGTGCAGTTTTTTATTTAGAAATTTTCAAATGATTAACAACATTAGGAGAAAGGTAAGTGTTAAAGCCTTATGGTTTTGTTCATATTAAGTGCTTAGTACTTTTTGCTTTTGCTTCGGATGCTAAGTCCGAGTTGCCTGTTCGGGGATTTACATCACTCGTTTGTTTCTCCGTAGGGGAGTGAGTATCAATGTGCTCAGGCACGAAGCAGAATTTTATGGGATCACTCCATTAGGTACGTGTCTCCCAGTATACGTATTTGGGATCGGACCCTTTGTGCACTAAACTTGCCCAAGTAAATGTATCTTATGGCAGGTCCTAATTTTTGATTGACTAGTTCAGTGCTTGCTCTTTGTGAATTTTCATACTAAAAAGATGTTATCAGTTGCTTTAACTTAAATGTTTTCATTTTTTCCTCTTACCCTCTTTAACTGGAGAAAGTAAAAAATGGAGTACTGTTTCTGTTCGCATGTCCTGACGAGTTTGCTTTGCCATGTTTTAGTACGAAGGCTGCTGCTGTGCGAAGAGCTGGAGCGCTCGTCTTGTGGCAGCGTCCTCTTCCATGGCTACTTGCCTCCACCAGGTACTTCTGCTTCGTTTAGTCTTTTTAGAAGTTCTTTTCCATTAAGCAATTGTATGCAAATGAGCATTATTAAACAAGTATCTTTATGCAAATGTGTAAATGAGAAAAAGGAAGATCAGTTCTTTGATCATTGACTTTCTCACTTATAAATCTACTAGCTGCAGTGAGAACTTTTATTTTAACAGAAGTTCAGTCATAGGTTACGTTATAGCTGAGATGTACCAGAGTTTTCTGGAAAGGCCAGGTAGGCTTGTGACCTCGAAGGTCTCCGTGGCAGCCATTCAGCTCTGCCATAAGCACTGTAGATGTGAGCGGGTGTGACGGGAATAGGTACAACTTTGTTTACGTAAACGGCATCGGGCAGGATTTGGCCATGACCCAGTTTACCGACACCTATGTCAGAGCATTGGTTGTCAGCCTCGTTTTGTTGGACCCCGGGAGCTCAGTGGCAGGCAAAGCACATGTCATCTCTACCCCACTTCACTTAGAAGAGTTCAGCCTTCACACATGTGACAGTGGGCTTCTGAGCAAGATTTCATTCCAGTAAAGACTTTGAAAGTGTGGGGCAATTCTGCTCTAAAGCAGTTTAAATCAGTACACAGTGCCTCAGACATAGTAACGTGCAATGTGAAGAGGGATGACAGACTGAATGAATTTCATGTTGTTTTTTCAGTAACCTAGAGCTAGGTAAAAATAGAGTATAATATATAAATCTTAATCTTATGATATATATGTGTGTATATATGTATATATATGTGTGTGTGTGTGTATATATATATATGTGTGTGTGTGTGTGATAAACACCAGAAATCGGTTGAGTTTCCTGGTTTTTACAGTTTCATTTTGTTGTTTTTTATGGTAATTATTTGGAATAAATTGCTATTTTGGAAAATAAATGTTGACTATAATGAGATACACAATTTTATGTTTTTTTTGTAACAATGTGAAATTTTAAATTCTTTGTAGTGAACTTAGAAATTTATTTTATTTCCTTTTGTAGGTATTCCTAGTCGTAAAGTAAACAATACAACTAGATCCTCTGCTGAGTCTAGGAATGGACTAAATTCTACAGAAGGTGAAGCTCGGGCAAATGGTACCCAGCCTGTTCTCTCGGGAGGTGGGGAAGAGACAGTTAGGCTAGGTAAGCAATGATCACTTAAATGGAAGAAGGAAAATACATGTTTTTAGTTCTAGCTTAATTATTTTTAAAGATGTAATTTTTGCTTCATCTCTCTTTTTAATTCGCATTTATCATTTATATCGTAACGTCATTTAACATAATTTCTATTTAAGAAGTATGTAATGTTCTGTTTGCTTTAAATCTTCAGAGCAGGGGTTGGCAAACATTTTATGTAAGGGGCCGGGTAGTAAATATTTTAGGCTTCGTGGGCCACACAGACTCTGTTGGAACCACAGCTCTCCCACTGTGTCATGAAAGCTGCCATGAACTATGCGTAAACAGGCATGGCTGGGTTCTACCAAAACTTTATCACAGCAGGGACAGGACTGGAACTGGCCTGAGGGCCAACACTTCCCAGCCCCTGCTTTAATACAGTAAACATTTATTTTCTAAAATCAACAGGATTCCCTGTGGATCCACGAAAGGTGCTAATAGTGGCTGGCCATCACAACTGGATTGTAGCTGCGTACGCCCATTTTGCTGTGTGTTATCGGTACTGTATCATTTGTAACTGTTTGCTTTGCTTTTTATTTTGGGGGGTAGTTTTACTAATTGCGATTTTATATTTATAGGTTGAAAAGCTGTTTCACTTAATCATCAAAATTGGTCACTCTGTATTTAAGCCACTTCTTTAGTTTTTCATTAGATTTAGTCTGCTTTCCTTTTGGTAGCTAACTTGGTAAATATTGCTGGTAGCCTTAACACGTCTTAAATATTTTTCAGACATTATGAACAGTGATATAATTAAGGTCTTGAAGTTCTTCTTATATATCCAGCTTCTGAATCATTTAATTACCCTGTTAAATGAGTGGCCAGGGTTATTAATACGAACCGTGTGATTTTGTGACTTTTATACGTCTCAGGCTTTCATACGTACAGCAAGGGCTAAAGCAGTGTGGCGTGGGGAGAAGTGGCGAAGCCAGGCCGCTGTGGGCGGAGCTGATGTAATTTACTATCTGGGCTGTGAGAGGCTTACAGTGGTGATTTGGTTTTACTAATTCTTGCATTCTCAGAAAGTAAAATGGAGTGAGGAAAAGCGTAGACCAGTGATTTTTTTTTTTTTTTTAATTGGAGAAAGAATGAGATCTTTAGTTAAAAATCATTATTGCAGTGAAAAATGTCGATAAAGAATGGTGTAGAAGCACAACGTGGTTGGGAAATACTAGTTTAGACTGTGATCCCATGTAATTTAATTGCTGAAAAATCAAAGGATATATAAATATCACTATTGTATCTGGTTAAGAAAAAATAAGCACAATAGATTAAAAATATTTTGAATGTCTTCTGAAGTTTCTATGTATGATAT